AATCTGCTACTCAGTTCGTTTTAAAATTTCAGTTCGAGCAGTTAGAGTTATTCAAAATGGCAAAGTTGCAAATATATTTTTTTTGTTCCCTAATTTTGGTGAATTTTCAAGGACAATTGGCTGAAACCCAGGATAACGCCACCGTGTGCGTCCTGCAAAATGCCCCCCTCCAATGTGGCACTTTTTGTTTGGCTGCCCTTCACCCGATATTCGATGTTATTCCTAAAGTCCGGGGCCAGATGGATAGGATTGAAAAAGAGCAGCAGGCCCTACGAAGGTCCTTGATAGAAGACCAGGCCAAAATGGATACTCAACTAGAGAAGGTTCGTTCCGAAATGAATGGCCAACTTCAGGCGATTCTGAGCAAAATAGAAGGACTTCAAGCAGCCCCCCAGCAAACACATCCCACAAACAATTTGGCAGAAGCCCCAATAGTAAAAGAGATCCCTGACAAAACCCCGATGAATCCAACAAGCAGAAACCAGAACATCCCAGCCCAATTCGAGCAGATCGGTTCGAGGTTCTTTTACATAGAAAATACAACTGAAGTAGGCTGGATTCACGCTGAATCCATCTGTCGTGAGAAGGGTGGATACTTGGCGTCCATTAAAGACAAGGAGGAGTATGATACCATTTCAGCAAAACTCAAACTACACCAATATTATTGGCTTGGTATTAACGATGTCCTCAAAGAGGGCAATTACGTCTCCATTGCCTCTGGGAAGAAAGCAATGTATTTGAAATGGGCGAGGAATAATCCCGAAAAGGGAGGAAGAAAGGACTACGTTTATATGCATAACGGTTATATGTATACTTATTTTGAATACATTTCGAGTCATTTCATTTGCCAAGCAGACAGTGAAACTTAGATTAAATTAATAAGACCACAATACCAATTTTAAACCATGTATGTAACTATGTTTTCATTTGTGGGACAGAAGTCTTTAGATTTTCCAATGTATAATGTGTAAAAAATAACTATAATTGGATTTATATGAATGAAATGAATAATACAAATTATTATGTAAATTCTGTAACTTGATAAAGAAAATAACAAAATAACAAAAACACAATATGCAAGTCAATATATTTTTATTATATTGATTTCAACATTCTTAATATATAAATAAATGAAAAGATATTATAATGAAGGATTTTTGAATAGAGCAGGTGCTTACAGATGTATATTGATTTTTATACCCTTGCAGAGGGTATTATAATTTCAGTCAAAACTTTGCAACGCAGTGAAGGAGACATTTCCGACCCTATAAAGTATATATATTCTTGATCAGCATCACCAGAAGAGTCGATCTAGCCATGTCCGTCTGTCCGTCCGTCTGTCCGTCTGTCCGTCCGTTTCTACGCAAACTAGTCCCTCAGTTTTAAAGCTATCTGCTTGAAACTTTCCCAAAAGTTGTCTTTCTATTGCAGGTAGTATATAAGTCGGAACGAGCCGGATCGGGCGACTATATCATATAGCTGCCATATAACTGAATGATCGGAAAAGCCATAACTTTGGTGTTTTTATACCCGTTACTCGTAGAGTAAAAGGGTATATTGTATTCGTGCAAAAGTATGTAACTGCTAGAAGGAAGCGTTTCCGACCCTATAAAGTATATATATTCTTGTTCAGGATCACTAGCCGAGTCGATCTAGCCATGTCCGTCTGTCCGTCTGTCTGTCCGTCTGTCCGTCTGTCCGTCTGTCCGTCTGTCTGTCCGTCTGTCTGTCCGTATGAACGCTGAGATCTCGGAAACTATAAAAGCTAGAAGATTGGCATTTTGCATGCAGATTCTAGGAGTTCCTACGCAGCGCAAGTTTGTTTCAAAATGGTGCCACGCCCCCTTTAACGCCCACAATCGCTTATATACGATTTTAAAAATTTAAATATTTCGGAAAAGTAAAAATGCAGTTTTATTGTGTTTATCAATACCTATCGAAATGTAGCAGAAATTTTTCAAATCGGACCATTCGTTAAAAAGTTATGCGTGATCAAAGTTTCTATCTCCATCTCCCTCGCACTCCCTTTACCTGAGTAACGGGTATCTGATAGTCGGGGCACCCGATTATAGCGTTCTCTCTTGTTAAAGTTAGGAAGTTGAGATTTTCTATGGGTTTTATTTTTGGCTAATCAATCCGACCTACCGAATTTCATAAGGATCGGACGACTATATCCTATAGCCGCCATATAACTGATTGATCGGAAATGCCATAACTTTGGTGTTTGTAAAGTTAGGAAGTTGGGATTTTCTATGGGTTTTATTTTTGGCCAATAAATCCGACCCACCAAATTTCATAAGGATCGGCCGACTATATCTTATAGCTGCCATATAACTGAACGATTGGAAATGTCATAACTTTGGTGTTTTTAAAGTTAGGAAGTTGGGACTTTTTATGAGTATTAAGAATACATCATATGGATAATTTTGGAGAATATAATTTACAGAATATTCTGCAAGGGTATATCAACTTCGGCTCCGTCCGAAGTTAGCTTTCCTTTCTTGTTAAAATTGTATTTTAAAGTTACCTCTGTTAATATGTTAATTTTTGGTAATATATAATAAAAAGTGTAATATTTTGGACAAAGAGACAATATGATTTTATTTTTATTTTATGGAATGGATGTGTTATAAATTTTTTATATTACGTATGTATTCTTTTTATTGAGATATGTATAACTAAACAGTTAGATTATTATTTTTATTATTATATAATTTATTTAGACAACTTTAAATATGAAAAAATATAGGTATTTAGTATTTTTTCATATTTAAAGAAGATAATCTGGTAGCTGAAATTCCGCTCATTCGAATTGCAATGATCTGCTTTACACTTAAAAATAAATGATTTACTTTGCATTAACATGAAAATGACCGTCACCGCCTTTTCAGGCCCCTTTTACCCGCACTCCCCTCTCCTTTCACCACTCTTTCACCCCACTTTTACCCACCTTTCACCCCACTTTCACCACAGTCGATCTTGCGCCGTGATAGAGTGCCGCGACACTGAGTAATCTATTTTGTGTGCGAGACTCGCACGCGCAGTCAGCCAGTCACACCCGCCCCACCACCCACCGCCCACTGAACCACCCACCACCCCCTCAAAACACCCATCCTAAAAAAGTGTGTGTCTCTAACACACTAATAATGGCATATAAAGTCGCTCGCACACGTCGCTTTGGATGCTGGATGCGGCGTTCGTTTTCCTCACATTTCGCCTTTTTTCGGTGGGAGGGTGTTTCCGTGTTTTCCTTTTTTCATTTATATTTTTTTTTTTTGGCCGAATGGCTCTCTTTTGTTTTTGGCGTTTTTACAACATGGCCAGCATAACAATGTCGCAGCAAACGAAAAATTGCAAGTGGACACATGAATTATGTGCAGCACTCGAGTTAAACAACCGCCGGGCGTGGCCCCTGAAGCCCCGATACCTATAGCTCCCCACAGCTTCACAGCCCCGCGCTGCACTGGGAGAAAAATTGTTTTTTTTCTGTGAAATTTAATACCAGAAAAACTAACCAGAGAAATTTTATTCATCAATATAACAAGTTATTCAAGCTAAATTACAAATAAATAATAACAATTAGAAACGAATAAGAAAAATAAACCACTTTCAAACCACTTTTATTATCTCTAAATAATAATAAATAAACTTCCCCAGTTTACTTAGTTACGTCATGTTTTTAAATCATTAGATATTTATTTAAGCAGAACAAAATTTTTGGAAATTTATTAACAAACAAAATAAACTGATGTTTTGAAAAATGTTTGGGACTTTTAAACAGAAGATTCTCTAAAAAAATGTAATCTGGTGCTATCGCACTTTTTTTTGAATCTATGGATGATTATTAGCCACAGGTGATTTAAGTCAAGACAAGGAATAAAATTTTTTTTATTTTTTTCAGTGTGGCCACTAAATGCACGAGTACTCAGGGCTTCCTTTCCCACTCCGCGATTCGTGGGGCTGTATTTTTTATACACACATGTGCTCGGTTTTTGTTGGCTGCCCATTGGGGACGCGTTAGTGGTCCGTGGCCGGGTCCCGGATGTGGATGAGGATATATAAGGGGATGGGGATGCGGAGGGGGATGCGGAGGGGGATACGGACGAAGACGAAATGGGAGAAGATGAAATGGGAGCCAAGTGAAGTGAAGTACACTGTTGACTTCGAACGGCTCTGGCTTGTTTTGGAGGTCACCCTGGAGTGGGAACTCTCCACTGGGGAGCTGGCTTTGCGGGTATTAAATTATACATCATTTTGCAACAAATGATGGTCGTTACGTTGCCACATCCACAGAACCCGACGCAGCATCCCGAGCCACGAATCCAGCCAATCCTGTCTCGTTTTGGCCAGGTCCATCTCCGCCAATTGGTATAAGCCAAATCCAAATGAAATCTTTAAATGAGCCCAAGCTGTAATTCAAATAAAGGGCACATATATTTCTTTTAGAAGAAGTATACAAACAGTATACAGAAAATCAATTTCACATTTTTTTTCAATAAATTTAAAAATTTACAATTTTAAAATTTTGTTTACCTATTTGATATTTTTGTAAAAATTCCTTTAAAGATGTAAATCTTGTTATTTACATAACATTCACATAATAATTTTATATAATATAGGGATATATTTTTATAAAACTCAAAGTAAGTTTTTTATAAGACGGATATCTTTAAATTAAGTGATTTTTAAATGATCTAGTTTAAAATTTTATATTATTTGTCAAAACAGTCAGTTGTCATTACAAATTTTTTTTGGTTTCTCATACTGTACATATGAATTTCGGTACTTAGAATAGATTATATACCGTTAAAATTGCTTTATTTGGATTTAAAAAACACACATTCCGTGACCCTCGCCCTCAGTGATAACAATATACATATGTGCGCATTTAAAATATATACTATAAGGCCACGTACTTTCTGATTTCTTATCAGCCATTCGTGATGCTTCGTTGTTACCCAAATAAACACATCATATTCAGTTCGTTTTAAAAGTTGCTTTAGAGTGGTTATACATACTGAAGTATGCTGAGATTGGCTGCATTTTTTCTGTTTTCCGTGGTTGTCCTAGGCAGGCGCGGATCATTGGTAGACTGCCAAGCCCATACTCAGTGTGGCCAATGCGATGTCTCTTGTCCCCATCCGCTACTCAGTGACATTCCTAAGATCAAGGACACATTAAGCAGTGTGTCTGTTTTCCAGGAGAACTTGGCAATCAGGCAAGACGAACTGCATTTCGGATTTCAGACCAAGCTGGACCAACTGGAATGTTGCAAGGAAACCATCACGAAGGAAGACTTAAACGCGTTCCAGGCCAAAATGGATACTCAACTAGAGAAGGTTCGTTCCGAAATGAATGGCCAACTTCGGGGCCAGATGGATAGGATTGAAAAAGAGCAGCAGGCCCTACGAAGGTCCTTGATAGAAGACCAGGCCAAAATGGATACTCAACTAGAGAAGGTTCGTTCCGAAATGAATGGCCAACTTCAGGCGATTCTGAGCAAAATAGAAGGACTTCAAGCAGCCCCCCAGCAAACACATCCTACAAACAATTCGGCAGAAACCCCAATAGTAAAAGAGATCCCTGACAAAACCCCGATGAATCCAACAAGCAGAAACCAGAACATCCCAGCCCAATTCGAGCAGATCGGTTCGAGGTTCTTTTACATAGAACATGAAACTAAAGTAACATGGTTAAAAGCTGAATCCACCTGTCGTGAGAAGGGTGGATACTTGGCGACCATTAAAGACTGGAAAGAGTTTTATGACATTAAAAAGAAGCTCAAAAAAGATCACAATTATTGGCTTGGTATTAACGATGTCCTCAAAGAGGGCAATTACGTCTCCATTGCCTCTGGGAAGGAAGCAATGTATTTGAAATGGGCGAGGAATAATCCCGAAAAGGGAGGAAGAAAGGACTACGTTCTTATACGTAACGGTTATATGTATAATAATTTTGAATACATTACGGGTCATTTCATTTGCCAAGCAGACAGTGAAACTTAGATTAAATCAGTTTAACACTATCTAACCACAAATACATTAGTTTAAAAAATATTTTTACATGTGTCAATGTTTAATGTAAATCTAAAAAAGTGGTATAATTAATTTAAAACAAATATAAGCCGAATAAATCAAAAACGTAATATTATTTTTCCGAATGGTATTTTTTATTCATACGGGGTATTTTATAAACTTTCAAAAGCCAAATGCACTTCAAAGAAAATGGTCTTGAAAATGTTATTAACTTTTGCGGTCTTTAATAAAAAGGCAAACATCAATAGCTTTAAAGCTATTTCCAAAATCAAATTAATGTATACCATTTTTATTAAATTGCAATAAAATTATATTTTATTTTCAGATAAAAAGTTGGTATCTTAAGATGCAAGGCGGTGTTTTATTATTTTTTAAATGGAATAAATAGAATAATCTTATAGTAAAAATCTGAATCCGTGAACGAAGTTTTTATTTTATTTCCACTTGGCTTGGCGCTCTAAATGATTTAAGCTGCATTTTTCAGGAAGGCATATAATCGATCTAATTACATTGGTTGTCATGGGTTAAGTGTGCGGCACACAGACACTCACACACACACACACACACACACACACACACACACAGGCGCAGCACGACTTCCGCTGGGCGATTAAACTGTTCTGCAATCTCCGTCGTCTTCGGGCGCTTTTTATGGCTCCGAATTGAACTGCTTTGAATTGAAATCACTTAAAATGGCACTCTTGCACGCATACACACCATTACCCACACTCACACACACACCATCGCGTATTTTAATTATGACTGAGCGAATTAATAACAATTTATTGCGAGTAAGGCAACTTTGATTAATTCAGCTTGGTATTTCCCGCATTTTAAATATTTTTATTTTGTTGAATCCACTTATTCAGGCATTTTTATAAATTTAATTAGGTCGCGTAGGAGTTCTACGAGTGGCCTTGCAAATGCCAATGAATGGCTCACAAATTAAAAGGCAATGTTTTTCAAAGGTCAAAATAGCAAACGTATACAACTAGAAAATAAAACACAATAATAGAATTTAGATAATTGGATTGACACAGAAAAATGCCAACATAATGTCAAATGGCGATGACAAAGACTTTTATAATACATAATTAATGTCAACGATGAACATTTTCATTTTTGTTACTCTCTATTTAGATGTGGTAAAAGCGATTTTACATGTTGATGATTTCCTTAAACTGTCCCATTCAAATATTAAGTTAATATAAATTAAAGCGATGATTAAATAAGGGACTCTATGTTTATGGCCAACTTTTATTTCAAGTGTAAATCATTTGGTTAGCTGGGAAGGTTCCTCTCCCCGTCATCTTTTATAGAGCAACCGAACGAGCTGCTGTGCATTATTTCGATTTTAATTCGCAGCATCCTCCATTCAAATATCGAATACACGGACTGGATGCGCCACTTTCCCGCCCCCCTTGGCGCCCATTCTCCCCAAATTTTCGCATTTTCCCCCAGCTTTTCCACTGTTTTCCGGCATGCCGTTTGCTCCGCCATTCATTCGTTTGCTGTAATCAATTGCATGCGGCTATTTTTGCTTGAAAGCGAATGGCAAGGGACGCTGCATTGTCGCGTCGTCAGGCAACGCAGCACCACCCAAAAGCAGCACCACCCACTGATGCACCACCGAAGGGCAGCACCACCCGCCAAAGAGCCCTATATGTGCAGATAAACAAAACTCGAAATATTCCCCCACATTCAAGAAAATCTTAACTAGTTTTTTTTTTTTTTTTTAAACGTTGAACATAAGTTTATTACTTTTAGACACTGCTGTTTTTTTTTTTACTTTGCCTTAAAAGACAGTAGTCCTTTTATATTTTCTTAAAAAAGTCAATTGTGTTTTTACAAATATTTTCCAAATTAATAACGTATTTTTAGTTCAAACAATTTCCGATGAACGTAGGTTTTTTTTTTCTGTGTCGAGGAACCAACCGCTGTGCGAACCTTAAATGAAACATTCAACGCAGCAAATTGCAATAAGCCGGAACAAACCGAAAGAACACTTGGGCAGCAGAGTGATATGTCGATGGGGTGGTGGGCGGGGAATCCCCGCCAGAATGCAATGCATCCCACCTGGCGGACAGGTGAGTGTGTGTGAATGCCAGTTTGGCCACCGCCACCTGCCATTCAAAGCGTCCAAAGCCAGAGCATTTCATACTTTCAGTTGCCTCATCTCCCAAGTATCACACACGGGTTCACTCACTTCTCTAAGCAAAGAAAAAATGTATTAAAGAAATTCAAAATATTTCCTAATGGCCCATACACATTGCATTGTTAAGAGTCGTACTTTAAATGCTTGTGTTTCTTCTGCTTAACTTCTCGCCGTTCTTTGCTTTTCCTTTCGTTTTTGTTCACCCTTTTCGGCGGTGTCAAAGGATCTCCTTACTTCTGAATGCAACTTGCAGACTTTAACCCAAAAACTTTTCCCGATAGTGCCGCCAATTGATAAGGCAGTCCGCCCCCCCCGACTTTTCCTCGACTTTCCCTCGACTTTTCCGCCCTTTTCCGAGCCGCAGACAAAGACAGACAGATGCAGGCAGCGTAGCGGAAGTCATAAACAATTTTTATGTTTTCACATTTCAAGTGAAATTCATTTCGCGTTTTTCTTTGCCCTCCTCAGTTTTTCTCCATCCTTTTTTTTTGTTCAGTATTGTTATGGCTGCTGCGCTTTATGGATTTCAATTTCTTATTCCTTCTTACATGACCGAAAATACCCACATATCTCTTGAAATACATATGTACAGTAGGTATAAAAATAATAGTGGTTTTTTCATTATTTTTTATTTTTAAGAAACTGGTAAAATACGGAAAGCCGCGATGGTACTTCTTCTATTAATAGAGATATTCAAATGTTAGTCATTTATTATTTTATTTGTAAATTTTGCATTGTCCTCTTCACAAATAATTTTAACATAGCTAGAAAATTGAATTTAATCGGTGTCACCTGGCCGGCTAATGAAAGCGACTCATAAAAAGAAAATCCCTCAAAATGCAGAGCTTGCAGAACTCGCAAAAAAAAAGGAAGAAAAATGCGAAAAGGGGAGAGGGTGGCTTAAAATTAACAATTTACCACTTGCTCAGATGGCTCAGTAGCAAGTGGCAAGCACTTAAGGTTTCGTGGCATCATTTTTTCAGCCTTCTCGGGGGCTTTTCCCCCCAAGCTCTTCCCGCTTTTCCGCGCCTCTCCACCCGCCCAAATTGATGCCCGTAATGAGCTTAAATGGCTCATGACACATATAGCCCAACTAGAGGCTGCTGAAGTTGGGCTCAAGGTGCGAGAGACCCTCGAATTTGCCTACCAGTGTTTCTGCCCGCTTTCCCGTCTCCCCCCCCTGCCGCATTTCCCACCTTCGGGTTTCCCTGCCTTTTCCTATTGCAATTTTCTTTTTCTTGTACATTTTTTTGGCGCTGAATCAGCGTATTTTTTCACCTCTGCTCTGAGCACCTGGAAATTGCGTTAATTTTTTAGAAATGTTCTAAGCCGACACGTAGGGCTAATGAACTTGCAGATCGAAAGATGTGCAGGGGTGGAAAATGAGGAAAATCCAAAGGAAAAGTTAAGTTTGTTGCAGGTGGAATTGTAGATAAAGAATAAATATGTTGGTCTTGTGCATTAACTAATAAGTTCTGCATTCAAAGTACACAAGTATAGATTAAGTTTATGATTTGATGGAGATTATTGAGCGTTTTTACAGTAACTATGTTTATACTTAGAACCATTTTGCTTGGCAAACTTCTTGTTATTACGTCAATTAATATTTTTTCCAGCTCAGCGGACACACATATACTAGCTGACTGCTGTGAAAGCCGCAACTGATTTCCAGCAAAGGAAAAGCCAAAATAAATATGGAATGAAAGAAGGCGAAAACCGAGGAAAACTCTTTTGTCAACCCGGCAAGGATTCTCGTTCAAAATCCTGTGTAAGCAAATGAAAGTTGTTTGGTCATGATGTCTGCATTGCCTGCGAGGGGGGCAAGTGGAAAGGGGTCAGGGGTCAAGAGGGGTTGTCTGCCCCCTTAACCACACACACACACACATACACACATACACAGATAAAAGAGAGAAGTGCAACACGTTCTGCTGTAGCTCATTAAGTATGTGTCTTTGAGTCCATACATTGGGAGAAAAAAAACTCTAATTAAATTTATACTCTAATTTATATACATTTTATTAAACATTTACAACTCTTATTTATTAAAAAATAGCGTACTAAACAACAAAAAATATATTTAATTTATAAATAATAAAAATCTTAAGAACAAATAAAAATATACAAATAATTCTGATTTGGTTTCTGTTTTTTACGATTTCAAAAATCAAACTTATACACAGCAAACGTCTTATTTATAAATTTTTCGATATTTATTCATTAAAATTATTACTTAGCTCAAATTGAGAAAAATAATGCTTAATTTTATTTACATGGAAACAATTTTTTGTTATCCGAAATGTGCTTTTGTGTTGGTATTGAATAGCTATTTCTTTTTTTACAGTGCCCGTGCGAATGTGTGTCGTTCTGCGCCAAGTGCGACAATTTAAAACATAATGCAAACTAAATGAAAATGCGGCAACCACTAAGACCAAGGAGAGAGTACAAAAGAATTTTTAAATATCTCGTGCCCTCAACGAACCGGAGACGGGCTGATGACCAGGATGCAGGATGCAGAATGGAGGATTCAGGACTCAGGATTCAGTATTCTGGATGCAGGGCCAGGGGCTCTGTGGTCAAGGGGTCGAAGCTAACTAAGCATGCCACGCCCCCGCCGCAACACACACACTGCCGCCCCCCTTTTTTTCGTCACACACTTCTGTCTTCACTTTTCATTCTTTATTCCCCGGACTTTACTCTCTTTTTCTCGTTTTTTTTTTTTTGGCTTGCCAAACGGCAAACGGAAATGAACTCTTTAGTAAAGTGTTTACAAGCAAGCTGGTGAAAAGCGGTATGGCGAGGGGGAAAATTAGTGAAAACTAGGGGAAACCCGGTGGGAGTGGAGTGCGTGGGGCACTGCATTTATGCAGTCAAATTAATGAAACGCGACAAGAAGACAAACCGGAAAAATTGGGGGAAACCAAGTGATAAGTGATTTTTCAATGTGGCCATGTCGACAAGTTACTGGCCAAAAATGCGTTGGTTCAAAAATGTGAAATCTATCATTTTTTATC